CACAACATGGAGTACCTTTGACGAATTTCATGAACGCACAAGTGAGTATATGAGATGACAATCAATTTATATTCCGTTCATGAGTTCATTTCAGTAAAAGAAGTACAGTATAAAATTAATAGTTAAAAAGAATGTAAACAATGAACGCCTAAAAAATTTTATAATCATTCAATTATAGTATTTTGGTGAAATTTCTATTGGAACACCACCGCAAACATTTAGTGTAGTATTTGATACAGGATCATCAAATTTCTGGGTACCATCGACCCGCTGTACCTCGATCGCTTGTTTTCTTCATCGTCGGTTTGATTCAAACAAATCTAGTACTTTCAAACCTAATGGCACAGGATTTGAAATTCACTATGGCTCTGGAAGTTTAGAAGGAATTATTAGTAATGTATGTTTATGTATGTTTCTCTTTTAAAACTATAAATTTCGAAAATTTAATTATTCGATAATGATTCTTTCTTGTAGGATGTTTTACAAGTAGCAGATCTTAAAGTTACGGATCTAGATTTTGGTGAATCTATCAAAGAACCTGGTATAGTTTTTACTTTTGGCCGCTTTGATGGTATTTTTGGACTTGGTAAGCTCTTTATAATTTACATCGTTATGTTTGATATTGGCTGAAATATTATACACATAGCTCTTATTCATTTTCACAATATCCTTAAAGGTTATGATAACATTGCTATCAAGGGTGTTGTTCCTCCTTTTTATCATCTAGTAAACCGTAAATTAATTGATGCACCAATTTTTTCTTTCTGGCTTAATGACGCTGATAAAAATAATAATGCTGTTGGAGGCGAACTGATTTTCGGTGGTATTGACGAATCTCACATTGCTGAAACTATTCATTGGGCTCCCGTTAGAAGAAAGGGTTATTGGGAAATTGAACTAGAAAAAGTTATTTTGGGTGGAGAAGAAGTCGAGATGGAAGGAACTGGAGCTGCAATTGATACAGGAACTTCTCTTATAGCAGTACCTAATATTGTTGCCGACTTGATTAATAAACAACTTGGTGCTAAGAAAAACTTTGCTGGCCAATTTATCATCGATTGTGAGAAAATACCATCCTTACCTGATTTCAGTATGCAATTCAATGGCAAATTATTCACTTTAAATGGTTCTGAATATGTCTTGAGAGGTATTATCGCTCATTCCTGTTTATTTTTGTGTCAAGATTTATTATAATTAATATTAATCTCTTCTAGCTCAAAATCAATGTATTTCCGCTTTTATTGGTCTTGACATTCCCGAACCACTGGGTCCTATTTGGATAAGTGAGTATTTTTATTTCAAATAATTAAAATTGTGAATCAATATACATCTAAAAGTTTATATTCTATGAACCTACAGTTGGTGATACATTTCTACGTAAATTCTATTCGATTTATGATTTCGCAAATAATAGGGTTTGTCTTTTTTTTTAATTTTATTTTGTTTTATTTGAAGCTCTATTATATAATTAATGACTTTTTATATTAGGTCGGACTTGCTAAATCGAAATAGTAAAAGGTTATCGACTCTTATATAATTCTCTTAAATTTTTGCTGGTTGAGACATTTTGACTATCAATAAAAATGTGCAAAAAAAATATGTGCAATATTTCACTGTGTGATCAAGCTAAAAGTACAACACATATATATCTGATATTAACTGTCTTGAGATATGGTCGTTTAAGCCATAATGTACACTCAAATTGT